TTTCCAACAACCTTTTAAACTGTGCACTGACTAAGCATTGATCGTTTATTTTGACATACTGAATCAACGAACAAAACTCCCCGTCCTGCCACTCACTACAGTCGACTTTCATGCCAGGATACATTAAAAGCTATGAAATATTATGTTGTGGAAATGGAGGCATTAGAACTAAGAGATGAGAACGTGTGCTGATGGAAGACTTCTTCATCTTTAAAGCTGAGTCCTGGCCTTTACCTTTGCTGAGCCTCGCGATCAATCATTTTCTGAAAGGCTAAGATCTAATGCCAAATGCGGGAGACAGCAGCACACTTCGATCAAGCAAAGTTTTGGTTGCGTAAAGTTTTATGCTGCAACGTAGTGAAATATTCTAAATGAAACCACTTCTTGGTACACTTCCTGTGGCCAAAGGTATGTGGACACCACAACTTTTGACTCATATATATGTGGTACACATCTCATTTCAAAACCACCAATCCTTCAACAGGATTTTAAACTACTGCAAAGATTTGCTGCCGTTCACATCAGTGAGATTGGCCACTGATGTTAAACCATTATGGCCATGTAGAAACTAGCAAGGATCTTCCCCAAAAAAATGTTGGAATCAATGTCATGTGTGCTGTGGTGTTTAAGTGATAGTTCTACATTTTGGGAAATTATTCATACATTAGTCTTGCAGAGAATTACTCGAGAAGATTGATACCACTCTCATGTTTGTATGGTAAATATGAAGCTATTTTAGCTGTTTAAGGAACAAACAGCCATGTAGCCCCAAATGTACATAAAAATATGTAGACCGGAATATCCATGTACCTTTGGCCATATAGTACATGTATGTACAGCTTATATGAATGTGCTTATATGCATCCATTTAACAGTTAAAATACAATTCAGCAAATACATTAGATTGCATTCAATTGTCAATGACTTTCTTGACCATTTTCCACGTCCTTCATTGATAATTTGTGATGTACAAGAGAGTTGACCAGTAGCAGCTCATGTGCTTAACCTCTCTGCAGTATAAACACTCTGCATCTGCCCAGCATGTTGTTTTCCAGTCACATAACCAGCTTTTGCTTCAGAATGATGATAAAGGTCCAGTGTGTAACATTTAGGAGGATCTATTGGCAGAAATGGAACATAATATCTATAGGTATGTTTTCATTTGTGTATAATGATGCACAATACACCTAGAATATATGCTTCTGAACTGGTGTAGCCCTAAAAAAAACAGGAGAGTCTAAATATTTTACCCAGTGTAATCATAATATACTGTTGCTCAATGAAGAGTTGGAACAAGCTGATGCAGAATATGTGATTCTGTCAGGCTGTGTAGAAAAGGATGTGGTGTTAAAGCTGCCACATAAACTAAGAAATATGTTGCTATCGTGCTACAAACAATGATGCTGTTCTTAGTTCCTAAAAAGCTGACAATTTGGAGCTATTAGGTTTGAAAGTATCTCCTTCAAGGCTGTAATGGCTCTGGTGCCAAGAGCAGACTGGTAGTGGAAGATGATGAGGGACTCGCCTCGGGCAGTCACAGCTGCCATAAATCTGACTGGGCTGACGCAGGACCGTAATGGAGGAGATTGGTGCGATGTCAGTGTGAAGCCGGGAAAAAGAAACGCATCGAATCACAGCTCTGGGGAAGGAGTTCTTTCATGTTTTACAGTGCTGAGGTGAGGAAACAGAGGTGGCTCTTGCAGCAGTTCGTTCTGTCCCGGCAGAATGATGGCGGCTGAGGGCCCGCGATGATGCAAGTGGTTTCAAAGCGCTAATAACATGGATGATAATGATGGAGATGATTAGGTGGAGGAGAGAATGAAGGAGGGTGAGGCGGAAGAACTAATGAAGATGATGATTTTAAATGTCATGATATTGCAGAATTGCAAAAGGAAATGGAGACCCAGAGTGATGACATCCTGTACGGGCTAACCTCTGTTCCACTAACTTCTGTAGTGCAATCTCTTATTCAGCTTTTCTTTCATCCGCCTTTCAGAAAAAATGACTTTAGAGGTGAGGTTTACTAGCCATACTCTATCTATATTTTCATCCATACCCAAAATATCACCAAAGCTGCCATCTAAAGTAATTTACCCATTTTTGTAGCTCTTTCTTGTGCTGGTGGAATACTCTGAAACCTTAGCTGAAATTTTAACGTATTTTAAAATAGGAAGCCTGAAAAGGGGTCTTAAATATGTATGTAATGCTAAAAGATTGAGGCTAAAGGTCCCCCAGCTGATGATCTATGTAGAAGACACGGAGCAGCCTAATTTGTGTATGGCATTAAATCTAACTTACAGAGCTGCACAATATGGTAAGAACATATTAACATACATGCAATATGATTCATGATCAGAGGGAATCATTTCTGCATCACAATTTTCATTTTCATTGAATTTGATGAGGTCTGAACCAAATGTTTTCTGAAATCTGAAGAACAAGATTTGTAGGCCAGGGCGTCTCAGAACTATACAGTACTTCATTATAATGCTGTTTGTTCAAAAAAGTGCTTTACTTGGAGTTTCTGGAGTGTGGAGTTGTGGTTCAGGAGTCAGACACCCTCTCCACATTCAAGAGTAGGCTTAAGACATTCCTCTTTGATAAAGTTTATAGTTAGGGCTGGATCAGGTGAGTCCTGAGCCATCCCTTAGTTATGCTGCTATAGGCCTAGACTATCGGGGGATTTCCCATGGTGCACTGAGCTCCTCTCTTCCTCTCTCTTTCTGCACTCATTCATTTTCCATTAATGCATGTTACTAACTTCACTTCTTTCCCGGAGTTCTTGTGCTTTCTCGTCTCGCAGGTTCTTATCGATCCTGGTGGAGCCTCCTGCCATGGTCCTGCTAGATTGCCATTGCCAATACTGTTGTTGCTGTGCACCTGTCTCTCTCTCTCTCTCTCTCTCTCTCTCTCTCTCTCTCTCTCTCTCTCTCTCTCTCTCTCTCTCACCCCAACTGGTTGAGGCAGACGACCACCCACCTAGAGCTGAAGGATCTGTCCTAGGTTTCTGCCTTTTAACAGGCAGTTTTTCCTTGCCCTTGTCGCCAAGTGCTTGCTCATGGTGGTACTGTTGGGTCTCTGTAAATAATGTTACAAAGAGTTTGGTCTAGACCTACTCTATTTGAAAAGTGTCCTGAGATAACTTCTGTTATGAATTGGCGCTTTACAAATAAAATTGAATTGAATTGAATTGAATTGAACTTCCCCACACATAATTAAAGAGCTGGACACAACTGCTAACGTTACTCTGATATAGCATCTTGACACCCATGCAGCAGATGTTTCAGTATTTCAGGTATTTTCTAACCTGTAACTCCATTAAATAATATTTGCTAATAACATGCTACAGTAGGTTAGCTGGATATGAGATGTGCTTACATTGGAGCAGATAAACATACGCTTTAATCCATCTGATCTCTTTTTCTACAGGCACTCTGCTTGTGTTTAACTCATCTGCTTGACGGACCTGCCCTGACTACTTGTGGTTGCTAAGGTGTGACCGGTGATTGCTGTTCATGGGGCGGGGTTTAGCAAACAGTCAGTTCTTTATATTGCAAAAGTATAGTCTTTTTCCTGTGATTTACATATATTCTAAATTGAAAGTTAATAACAAAGGCCACCGAGTCAAACTGCCTTGACCTCTCATAATGAAATGCAGCTGACCCAAGCTTGACTCTCAGCACAAGCTTTTAACAAACCATTGACTCTCTGTTGCTCAGGGATTTTTTTTTTTTACTCTTGTATTGATCTTTTCTTTGTGGCTGCCTCAGCTGACAAGCAGCAGGAATCTATCCTTGCTCTGTTAAGTGTCCTATGGAGATTCACAGAGGCATGCCTTGAATTGCTCAGTGCATCTTCTGCCTTTTCTTAATAGCCTGCAGTGCTCCTCAGTCTGGTCTTCATTATCGCATCCTTTTCATCCTGGTTGTGTGAGTGTGTGTGTGTGTGTGTGTGTGTGTGTGTGTGTGTGTGTGTGTGTGTGTGTGTGTGAATAAGTTGTAAAACTTATGAAACAAAATCTCACAGCCATATAAACATTTGGAAGCCCTCCTAATTTATGAAACTTGCAAAGATGTGAAAATGACATGCAGTTTCTAACCTACCTGATTGGCATGTCCTGAGCCCTTCTTCTACAGGCACAGGGTGTCCTACGGAGACTTACTTAAAGTAAGTCTTAAAAAGTCTAAAATAATCTGAATTTTAGGCCTTAAAATGTCTTAAGTATACATTTGAAAGGTCTTAAAATGTATTCAGTTACCTTGTTAAAAGTTTGCATTTTTCAGTTTTACGTTCTAATGTGTTTTGGGGAAATTTGTATTAATCACAACAACTAGAAAACAAAACCTACATGGAGACAATAACAGTTTTCCATCATATCCTTCATACTTTTATTTGTGCCATTATGGATGTAAAATAGGCCTTAAACTGCATTCATAATAGTCCTAAAAACTTAAATTCAACCTGCAGACAGATGACATCTAAACTGGAGGTGTTTCCTTAAGTTAAGTTTAAAATGTTATCAAATATAAAAGCACCTAAATTAGTCTGATGTCTTAGTATTGCTCACAAATCTGGAACAGAAGACCAATAATCCCTCAACTCAATATTAAAAAAACATTAAATGTACCCAGAAACACATTTGGGACAGTCTCTTTTTAATAATAATTAACCTTTTAGTGAGCTTGGAGTGATTTTATTGATTGTGATTACAATATTGCTGCATTATTTTCTTATTACACATAATACATTATAATTGTACTACTAGGTTTTAATAGTCACCTTATAGTAGCTTATATTATAAAGAAAGTCTTATCATATATCAGCCTCATACATGAGTCATCTAAGCCTTTTCCTGCTGATGTTTGCAGTATTTTTTATTTATTTATTATTTTTGGGGGGATGGGTTACTTTTTTTTGGGTATGATGATGTGTATGATAGGATTGCGTTGTAATATCCGGGGGTTGGTCCAGAGTGGAGTGGGCGTGCCTGCGCTCTGCTCTCCCTTCCTACCAGGAAAACGCTGGAGGAGACCCACAGTGCCACACAGCCGCGCACTGCAGAGGAGAGAGCAGGACACAAACACCGCCGAGGAACATGTCAGCTTTCTCACGCACCAAGGGACGCTTACACCGCCGGCGCAGCGCAGTCAATGCACACACACCGCCTCTGCTTTAGTTCAGCAGACATACATCGCCCTGCTTACCACTTATGCGCTGGTGAAATCTTCCTCCAAGCTGCTTCTGGTCCATCCCCTCCTCCCCTCTCTCCCTCCCTCCTCCTCCTCCTCCTCCTCCTGCTCTCCGCCGTCCCGTCGCCAGGATGGACAAGACGCTCTGCAGTCCGCATCCCGGGACCAACAAAACAAACTCTACCACGTCGGACCGCGGGAACTCATCGACGAGGAAGCCCGGCAGGAGCGGGTCGCACAGCCCCGGCTCCGGCTCCCTGGGCGGCCCGGCTGGAGCGGGAGGCAGCCGGGGAGCTGTGCTGGGGAACAGCATGATTCTGCAGCAGCAGCAGGCGCGCAAGAGGCAGCTGGAAGGAGTGCTGAGCAAATACACCAACCTGATCCAAGGCTGGCAGAACAGGTAAGCACATGGATGGCGTTAGGTGGACACTGGAGAGGAGTGGGTGGGTGGGTGGGTGTGTGTGTGTGGGGGGGTGGGCATTAGACACGACCCACTTTCGGTTCAAGTGTCAGATGGCTTTGTGTTGTTATTTGCCCCGTCCACGTTGCACTTTTGCCACCACGTCACCGTGAAGGGGAGGAGGAGGAGGGTGAGGAGGTGAAGGGGTTTAAATCTAAACCGTGCACACATGCTTGTAGGCCTGCTGTTGAACTATTTCACTGACAATAAGGCAGACAAACACTATTAACTACAAAAATCAGATCATAGAACTTACAGATACCTTCTGAATAGTATTTGATTATATCTTTTTTATATTTTATGATGTCCACTTTTGGTTGACATTGTATCAGAGATGTGTTCACCCAACTCTACAGTCATTTTTGAAGCTTTTAGAAAATGTATTGGTGGTGTTGTGTTTAGAGCTGTAAAAATAAGTACTTGGATAACTGGTCAGTCATTTAAGTAATTTCTTAAGCAAATGAGCCAAAAAAGTAACTGGTTTTAACATCTCAAATGTAAACATTTGCTGGTTTTCTTGCCTCTGTAATAGTTAACTGAATGTCTTTAGGTTTGAACTCATGTTGGACAAAACAAGCAACCTGGAAATGTCCAACTTGGGCTTTTGGCAATGACTGATTGTAAGTTGCAGTCCTATACTTGTGTTGCATTGCCCTTTTCTAATATTATGGCACCTCATGTACTGTAACAGGGGTGATCAAAACACTAGACACACGCCTCAGTGTTATGCACCCCAATATATGGCTGCAACTAACCTTTTTTCTTAACTGCTCAATTGTTTGGTAAATAACATGTCAGAAAGCTGCAAAAAATGCCTACCACAAGTGCCCATATCCAAAGATGACATCGTTTTGTCTGATCAACTGTAAGAACCCCCAAAATATTAAATTTGCTATCATGTAAGACCAGAAAAGGCAGGAAATCTTCACATTTGAGAAGCTGGGACAAGACAATATTTGTTTTGAACAAGGTCTTTTTATTTAAGATTTTCACAACATGCAGAACACAAACACAATACAAACTATAACCAATTGACAAGACAATATTTGACATTTTTGCTTTAAGAATTATTATTCGACTAATGGTTTCAGCTCTATTCAATTACAACTAGAGCTAGACCGATGAATCGTCTGATATACTGGCACTTATTTGTACTGATATTAGCTTATTGCAGACATGTTGGTGTATGCATCAGCAGGTGAGTGAGAAGAAAGTGCAGCACAGAAATGCCAGATATATGTTTGCGATCATTTAGAAGCAGTGTCTCCATTAGGGCTCCATTATTACAGCTGTATAATATTGCTCAGAATTTTTAGGTCTGAAACATCCTGTATCAGTTGGGTTCGAAGTACAACAGCATCGAAAAACTACCACAGGGCTGAATAAACAGCTGTCTGAGATCTTGTCAACAAACAGTGATATAAGTAGAGCTAACAGTTGTATTCATTAGTTAACCTGATGATTATTGTTTTCAATTAGAGATGCACAATAATTATTGGACCACATAAATTATAATGGGAATGGGAAATTTATATTATTATAAATTATCCTGTCAATTACAGCCGATAAATTATCAAAGCAAATTAGCAAATCTTCATAAATGAGAAATAAACAAACGTGTTTATATTTGTGTGCAAACATTACTGAGACAATTAATCTATAATCAAAATAGTTTATCTGTTAATTAATTGACTAATCGTTGCAGCTCTGGTTCTAATGTTCATATTGTAGGGCTGTTGTATTGAATTGTATACATGTACCTAATAAAATAATGCTATGTATTCGCCGTCTACAAATGCATTCCTGTGTTCACTGAACATATACATGTGCATGTGCCTGTTTCATCTAGCTGGGGTTACTGATGTGACCTTATTGCTTTATTTTATAGCTTTAAACAGACATCATGCCCGCGTCCTGTGGTCGCCTGACATTCTGTTGCTCATGCAGCACCAAAACCGCTCTCATAAAGAAGAATGTCTCAGAGATCAAAGCAGTGCATTATTGTGCGACTGTACTTCATGCAGCATTCATGGGTTCACTCCCTGCCCTGTCCGATTGACTCAACTCAGACACCACTGAGTTTTTATATGAGAAGCTATGAGTGAGTTTTTTTAATTTAAAAAATATTACCCAAGCCTATACTTGTTGTGAAATCTGGCTGTGGGGGTACTTTTTTTTGCGAATTTCCTGTTAGCTGCCTACAGTTAACATGAATTATGCAGGGTTGCTGTACTGCAGCTGTAGTGTGATTTGGGATTGAATTTTTTTTTTTTAACAATATGCACACGAAAATAACTGACTTATAGCTTTCCATTGTTGCTGTAGAGGTGCTGCAGAGAAGCTGAGACTGTAGTGTGTATGATCTGGGCTGGAAGCCAGTGTATGTGAAACGGGTGGGGTAGAGAGGCGGGGGTGGAGGTGGAGGGAAAGAATGGCTGCTCCCTGCTCTCCCATTAAACTGACAGGCAGATGATGCACTGAGTGAACTGCATCTTGATATGCACCCATAGGAATACCTGGATTTTAAAAAAAGAAAAGAAAGACATGTTCATTTCAAAGAGGTAAAAGTGAGGTGGTGTTGATAAAAAGAATTTAAATTGCATTTGATGTTCATGTGGGATTTGTTATCTGTCATCTCTTCTCGCACATAATTATGCAAACAACAGGATTGTGCTGCTATGTAAGCTGATCTGCCAGCAGGAAGGGTAATATAGGACCGGTTTGTTCTTTGAGGCCATGATACCTGTCCCCTGTTTCGATTTCTAAGTGCCCAAAGGTGAATGTCTTGCTTTCATGGAGAGATTCCTTTCGGCTCAATGACCCTGAGTGAGCACCGTGGCCTTCAGCTCGTAGATAGCGAGCACTGACTAAAAACATCCTGAGAATGGAGCCCAAAAGTGTAAAGCCTCTTTTAGTATGCAATCAGATCAGATTAAATGTTTTTTATGAGCACACAAACCTGAATTTGTTACAGTACTAGTCTACTGCCTTTACTACTCTCTACTTCTATTACTTGTACCACTAGGTCTGCTCTTAAGGTTACTAATTATTAGGACTGTCCCTGACTAAAGATTTTCATGAAGCCAATAGTCGATTAGTCATCGCCTGTTTATGATACTGATTTAGTTATTTAACTACATGTATATCTGTATTCTAACAGCCGCCTGTTGAATGCTAACAGAAAACGCAGTAATGATTCTGAATGTGTCGGCAAGGACCAGCAAGAAGACTGAACATCCCTCAGACGCCGTGATCCTGCTATTATCGTTTGATTATTAACATTTTCAAATGGATGTTAAAATACAGGCAATATTATTTCAAACAATGTTGAAAAAATGTTTAAATCGTGCTCAATTTTGACGGTTATCTGAGTGTTTTCTTACTTTTAGACTAGTCGACTAGCCTAAATTTAAAGTCCCTAGTCCCTACATCCCCAGTGTTTACTAGACCTTTTTAAAAAATGTATAATAGCTTAAAAAATCTGAAAAAAGCTATGAAAATGGTCAGGTATTTATATATCAGATATGAGGCCTTTTCTAAACCCATCTGGACAAGAACCTGGACAATCCATCCTTTGTCAGGCTGTGTTCAACAGTTAATATCTTTAAGTGCCTGCACCATTAACAATATATATAGAAACATTTTGAAGGAGGAGCAGCGGTACGCCTATGGAGGATGGTGTTGGAGTAATTACGGTCACGTTCCAATAGTTGTCACATGGAGAAACACATTGTGTGTTTGGCAGGCGGTGTCGTGGTGGGCAACAGACCTGAGTGAAGCTAATTCTGCCACTGTGTGGGTGGCCATGTCAGTGTGAAGTGCTGCTATGTTGTGTAGGTGCTGTGTGTGTTTGTGTTGGAGAAAATATGCTAGGTAGCCATTTTTTGTTTCTATACACATATATACATACTATACTTGTGAGGACCCTCATTGACATAATGCATTCCTTAACCCCTAGACCTGACCTTCGGAATAATTTTAGAGTTTTTTTAACTTGGGTTTTTGTATCTTTTCAGATTTTTCCATGGTTTCTAATGGTAATGATAACATAGTACTCATCCAAGTTAACTGCTGGAATGCAGAAATACTGCAACAACAATGAAGTCATAGTAGTGTCTTCAACCCTATTCTTACTGTGAAACCTGAGTAAATCGTCTGTCAAAGCCTTGTGGGACAGCAGGCAGTACAGGACCAGCAATGTGAAAAAAAGGGAGCGGTCAAAACTGACAAAAAAAAGTGATGCAGTGGTGGACCAGGAAGTTTAATCTTTATTTTTCAGTTTCAGTGAATAGGAAATTGCATAGAACAGACAAAGAATATAAAAAATACATAGAAAAATGAAAGAGACAATAATAAAAAGGGTAAAAAGTCCATGACAAATATTTAAGCAGTAATGTAGACTAAACCAAAAACAACCAGGGGAGATAAACAAATGAAGGAGATAAATTATTATTATTAAAAACATGTAAAGGTTTTCAAGACTTCTTGTCAACGGAGGATAGTTTTAACATGAAGTTCAAAGTCAATGAACATTTGCATATGATATTTGGCTAATAATATTAATAAATGTCTAATAAAAAAATTTTTTTTTTAGATCTTTGAAAATGATGGAAACCAAATGGCATGTTATGGTAAAACAAACAAATATAATTATTGACAACAATAATTTTTGTAACTTGTGATATCAATGACCGAAAAGCTGTGGAAGAAATGTTGTGTGAGTCAATGAATTTGAGCGGGTCTTCCGAGTAAGAAGAAGTCAAGTAGAGCAAAGAACACAAACACTCACATGATCAGACAGCTTTTTAACAAACCTATTTGAAAGCTAAAACTAAGGTAAATCAGTAAATTTATTACCCACATTGTCTGTAAACGTCCATCAGAGTTTGGAGACCAACTTCTCAGTTGAACTATGACCGACCGTACTTGCCCCAGTTGTG